GGTTGGGCCCCTGCAGGGTGGCCGCTGGGAGCTGCTGCAGCCCGCAATTCGGAAGCCGGGCACACAGCGCCTAATGGAAGCTATAAGGAGCGCTGTGGGCCCCTTACAGCTGCCATCAGACGCCCCCCATAAGTTGGCGCCTTGGGCAGCTGCCCGGCTCGCCCACTCCTTAGTTCAGCCCTGCATCTGTCACCACTGAGAGCAGCCTCTCTCCAGCCTCTTTGGAACCCCCTTTCAGGTAGTTGAAGCCTCATGTCAAATCCCCCCTCACTCTTCTCTTCTGCAGACTAACTAAGCCCAAATCCCTCAGCCGCTCCTCATAAGTCATGTGCTCCAGCCCTCTAGTCATTCTTGTCCTCCGCTGGACTTTCTCCAATGAGTCTGCATCCTCTCTGTAATGGGGCACAGAATTGGATGCAATACTCCAGATGTGGCCTCACCAGAGCTGAGTAATGGGGAATACTCACTTCCCTAAATCCCCTGGCAATGCTCCTCCTAATGCCCCCTAATATGCCATTAGCCCTCTTCGCTACAAGGGCGCCCTGTTGACTCATGTCCAGCTTCTCATCCGCTGGAATCCCCAGGTCCTTTTCTGCAGAACTGCTGCTTAGGCAGTCAGTCCCCAGCCTGTAGCAGTGCTTGGGATTCTTATCAGATTTCTTTTGGCCCAATCCTCCAATTTGTCTAGGTCACTCTGGACCTATCCCTGCCCTGCAGCATATCTACCTCTCCCCCTAAGTGTAGGGTATGTCTACACTGCAGAGTTTTCTGGGGAAAACGGCCGCTTTTCCAGAAAAACAATACTTATATCCACACAGCTCTTGCATTCTTTGGACAGAAAGTCGAAAGAATGGAGGAGTTTTCCGACAGCAGTAAACCTCATTCTACGAGGAAGAAGCCTTTTTTCGAAAAAGCGTTTTCGGAAAAAGGTGCGCGTAGAGACGGAAGAGTGGTTTTTTTTTTGAAAGAAGAGGCCTCCAGCAAAAAGCACAAGTGCCCTGGTGGCCACTCCATCCTCAGTAATCACAACTGAAATGCAAGAGAGTGTCCAATCAATGTGGACGCTATCTTTCGAAAAAGCAGCTCACTTTTTCCTTGCCCTTTTGATGTGTGGAAGATCTCTTCCAGAAAAGCTTCTTCCGTAAGAAGCCTGAACTCTAGACATAGCCTTAGTGTTATCTGCGAACTTGCTGAGGGTGCAATCCATCCCCTCATCCAGGTCATTAATAAAGATGAACAGAACTGACCCTTGAGACACTCTGACACAAACCGCCAGCCAGACACTGAGCCGTTGATCACTACCCATTGAGCCCGATGATCTAGCCAGCTTTCTATCCACCTTACAGTCCATTTATCCAATCCCTACTTCCTTAACTTGCTTCCAAGAACACCGTGGTAGATCGTATGAAAAGCTTTGCTAAAGTCAAGCTATATCGCTCCAGGAGAGGTGTGATTTTCTTTTTCAGAAAATTGTTGTACTGGTACCATCTCTGGACAGCTAGGCTGGTACAAAGGAACATTACCTCAGGATGGCTTATTCTCCTTCCTATGCAGAAATACGTATTCCAGTTTACGCAGACTTAGCAGAAAGTGGTTTTGTGTATAATATTGATGGATAATATGGAGGTTTATTCTGAAGCATTTAAAAAACTTTCTTTTGATCAATTCAGATTTTCATATTTGCACAATACTTATAGGGTTCCAGAGAATGGGAGGCTCAGACAATAATTATTTAATGACTGTAGACACAGATTCAAAAAGTTAAAGCTTTTTAACCATTATGACAAGCAGGGTCCATGTTCCCCTGGGGGTACGCAGATGTCTTCTGGGGGTACATCAACGCATCTAGGTATTTATCTGTTTTACAATAGGCTACATAAAAAGCGCTAGTGAAGTCAGTATAAACTAAAATTTTTATCGGCAATGACATGTTTATATACTATCCCCCGAAATGTAAGTGAACCATTTCTCTTCCAGTTGATTTGCAAAAAGGAGGAAGTGAGCAATTTGTCAGTAATAGCGCACTGGGACACTTTTATATCTTTCTGCCTGATTTTGTAAACAAGTAGTTTTAAAGTGAAATGTAACCTGGGGGTGCAGAAGACGTCCGACTCCAGAAAGGGGCACAGTCATCAGGAAAAGTTCTGATTTATAACACAGATTGCCACTAAACTGTGAAACTATACAAATGTCCTTAAATCAAACCCTTTTTTGGAATGACATACTGTGAAAAACTATACAAAGGTCCTTAAATCAAACCCTTTTTTGGAATGATTAAAATGCTACTGGAGGTGTATTTATTTCTGTGTGTTTTGTTTTTGTTTTTTTGCGGCAGCAAGCATTATTTATTTTGAAAAAATGAATTAAGTTGAAATTAACTAGAAGCAGCCATGCCTAATGGACAGAGCACAGGACTAACAGCCAGCCACGTTCCCCCTTGCTTTCCCAAATGGAAAATGACTAAGGGTATGTCTACACTACCCTCCTAATTCGAAATAGGAGGGTAATGTAGTCATACCGCAATTGCAAATGAAGCCCGGGATTTGAATTTCCCGGGCTTCATTTGCATAAAGCCGGCCGGCGCCATTTTTAAATGCCGGCAGTTCGAAACCCGTGCCGTGCGGCTACATGCCGTGGAATGAGGAATACAGCTAGTTCGGATTAGGAAGCCTAATCCGAACTAGCTACTCCGTGCCGTGTGTAGCCGCGCGGCATGGGGTTCGAACTGCCGGCATTTAAAAATGGCGCCGGCCGGCTTTATGCAAATGAAGCCCGGGAAATTCAAATCCCGGGCTTCATTTGCAATTGCGGTATGACTACATTACCCTCCTATTTCGAATTAGGAGGGTAGTGTAGACATACCCTAAGATCACTTAGCATTCATATAAGTGGGAGTGAAAAGGAGGCCAAATGCTGAAGTCTTTACGCAGGCCAAGCTGCCGTTCACTTCCCTCTGGGATTGTCCCAGCTCCGAGTCCTGCTGACGTCTATTGCAAGACTAAGATTGGCTTCAATGGGAGCAGTACCAGGCCTTAGAGTAAGCATGGGGTTCAGGACTGGGCTAGACCCTATTGGACAGCATGGCTACCATCAGGGCCAGATTAACTTTTCTGGGGACCTGGGGCTCCTAGGCTTCTTCTTGGGCTCTCTAAATTCTGGGGTGGGACCAAAACTTAGGGATCTGTGTGAGGGAGGGGACTGTGGTTTGAGGCTCAGGGCAGGAGGTGGGGTGGAAGTTTGGGCATGGGAGGGGGCTCAGTGTTGGAGCATGAGATCTGGGAGGCTGAGGTTAGGGTATGGGGGCTGTGACAGGGGGTTGGGGTGTGGGTGCATGCTTACCTGGGGCATCTCCTGTTTGGTGTTTGTGGGGGGAACAGGTGGTTCTGCATGGCCCATGCTTGTAGGCACCATCCCCACAGCTCCCATTGGCCAGGAATTATGGCCAATGGGAGCTGTGGGTGGCAGAGCCGGCAGGCAGGGACAGCACCGTGAGTTGTGACCCTCCGCTCCCATCAATTCCTGTTCCAGGGGCAATCAAGTGAATCCCTCCCCACACCACGTGCAAAGTCTGGCAGGAATCTTGCCTGGTTTCATTGCCACCACTGACTCTCCAGACAAAGCAAATCTCACCCAGACTTGAGGTGTGAGGGAGGTTTGCTCGGCTCTGAGACAGCTACCCAGATCTGAATGCCTCAGTAGCTCTGACAGGATGCAATGAGGTGGGCAAGATGGAGCGGAAACTGGCACCATGGGCCAACCTTGGGTTCTAGTCCCAACTCTGCCAAGGTGTGACATTGGGTATGTCACGTCCCTGTGCCATGCCTCAGTTTCCCCATCGATGAAAGGGGGATGATGACATTCAGTCCACGGCCCAATCACTTTCAAGCAGATACATGTGGCTTTGAATGCTTTGGCCAGCCCCAGTGCTGCCCTGTGTGCCAACCTTCACCTACTGGCTACTGCCAAAACCACAATAGATCTTCTCCGTATTAGGGACAAGTCAGCTGGGAGAAGTAGGGTAAGGAGAGGGCTGGTGGAGGTAGGGGCTCCTGGAAGGGCTGAGTCTCCTGGGAGAGTGGGTGGTGCAGGGGCTCACAAATTGTGGGAGAGGTGACAGATAGAGGAAGGTCAGGAAATCGATGTGCCCTTCCTGATCTCGGTCACTGTGTGTCTGGGCGGCGCCCGGCCCAACGGGCCCTGATCTCGGTCACTGTGTGTCTGGGCGGCGCCCAGCCCGACTGGGCCCTGATCCTGGTTGGTCTCTCGGCAGCCCCTGGCACAACGGGGCCCTGATCTGGGTAGAAGCGGGTCAATTCTGTTCCTCGCACAAGGCGGGGCCCTGCCCTCCATGGGGTCTATGCGGTGTCTGGTATAATGTGGGGCCTTGATCTCGGCGGGGGCGGGGTCTGTGCAGTACCTGGCACACTGAGACCACGATGCTGGATGCGGTGTAGAAGTGTTACTGTAATACACCCAATGATCCAGGTCTGACCCTTAGTCTTTTCAGTTACAGGTCACCTGTCGAGTTAAAATCTGCATCTGGGAGTTTTCGCTTCTGAGGGGGAGGAGGGACCTTTTTTCACCCCTTCTAATTTTTTTTCCTGGCTATACTTTGCATCAGAAACTTGGTGCTTTTCTATCTCTACTTTCCCCTGGAAGACTCTTTGGAGGACTGGAGAGCTTAGGGCTTTGTCTTCCTGTGGCAAACTTGCACTACAGCCATGTGGCTGGATTACATCCTCCCTGGTGCCAGAGACATGGACCCCCAGTGGCTGAGAGAGGGAGGTGGCTCTGAGCCAGGCCTTCTGAACCTGGCGTTTGCTTCCGATCACACACTTTTTCATTGAAACACCTAATGAAGAGATGGGAGAAAAGTCCTCTCTGCTACAAATCCAACAGCCCCTTCTTCTTTCAGTCATGGGTAGAAGGAATCAGCACCACTGGGTCACCAAGGAGACCTCTAGGATAAACAAGATTTGATGACTCTAAGTGCGAAACAAACAGAATTAAAAGAAAATCCAAACCCCAACCTTTCAGGCCTTTTCAAGTAGAACAAAGGCACAGAGCCGACTCCCACCAGGACACAAGCACAGGGATGGCAGTCAGCACCCTTGGATGTGACACCTCACCAACACCCTGCGCACTGAAACACATGCCAGCGCGGTAGCGGGCTGTTCTCCGCTGGACCAGACGCGAAGGGCAGCATGGCATGCTTAGGAGTTGCCTGTCGGGGGCATCTGACCAATGGAGCTCTACCTGTGAACCAGAACGATTTGGGTTGGATCCCACGCAAGCAGCGGAGAGCGATCGGGGCGGGGGACACGTCCGACTCCAACAGCACAACACAAAGCCTGGAGAGCGATGGGCTGGTTCGGGGGCAAGCCCCAGGCCAGTTGAACGCAGCCAGAATGGGCATCTATTATGTGTATTACAGTGGAGCACAAGAGCCCCAGCCTGGAATCCCCATCGTGCCAGGTGCAGCACAGACACAGAGAGATGGGCCCTGCCCTGTTCCCTGTCTCTCTAGCTCCTCTCTGCCCCCAGTCCCAGGGCAAAGGCCTCTGTTCGGAGCCACAGGCCCACTATGCCCTGGGGTTGGGGCCCCCCATGGTGTGCGGATGGAATCATGCCGGCCCAAGGGGCTGGTGCAGAGCAAGAACCGTGGAGGCGAAATCTCCAAGGCAAACGCAGCCTGAAGGATCACTAGGCTGCCCAAAGGGGAATTAGGGCTGGGTCGATTTCAAAGGTCAAGTTTAAAGCAGAAAAAAGAGGCGGCCAGGCGCAGGCTGCAGTGGAGTCTGCTCCAACTGTGGGGATTGCTTGAGAGAAACACCCCCTTTGCTGTCCCCTGCCCCCCAAGCTCCAGGGTGGGGTGGAGAAAACTGGCTGCACCTTCCACACCCATCGGCCCTTTTCAGGCCCTTCTGTGGGTCCAGGCCCTGTGTCCATGTTGTGGGGGGAAGGTCCTGATCTCGTGTCCTGTAGCTGATACCAGTCCCAGACAGCTAAGTCCCCACAGCCCCCCAGACAGGACCAGTTGTCCTGAGACTTTAGGGACCTTTTCTGCTCTCTCTTTTGTACCAGGTATGGGGCCCTGACTCCCACACTGATTTACACTAGGTTGAGTGGAAGAGGAATCAGCCCTCAACTCTCAGACATGGATCAGCACCAAGCACGTTCCACCCCCACCTTTGTGCAGGGACTTGGGGCAGAGTTAAGGGTATCTGAAGCCAGAACTGCATTTCCCAAGTTTCCCCCAAGATTGCAGTTTGCTTGGTAATATCAACATGATGCTTGGGGTGCGCCAGCTCATGCAGGGTCCCCATGTGCTGACAAGTGCGTGTCTGGGATCAGCCTGACCCACCCGTGTATTCGTATCAGGTATTCGGATAATAAGAATGTGTTTAGACTTTAGGGAAGGCTGCCAGCACTCATCTGACTTACAACATCTGTAATCCCGATGGTAAGGCAAGATCTGCGCTGAGGATGCTAGGTCCTGTCCAGCAAGGAAGGCCCAGCCATACCAGATGGACTCTTGTGAAACTTTAAAGAGGACAAAAGACTTTGTTGTTTCATCTTCACTAGGAGGGGAGGAGAGTGGACTTGCCTCCGATTAGTGGAGTCTGCAGCCCAGAGAAGAAGCAGGGAGGGAAATTTAAAAAACCCCCAAACCCCTAACCAGAAGGAAATGGATCATTTTGAGGCTTGGACTCTGTGGGTATGTCTACACTACCCCGCTAGTTCGAACTAGCGGGGTAGTGTAGACATACCCTGTGAGACAAGGATTACTGGGCATAAGCAAGAGATCCCCGGTGCTTAGCCTGGGTTAGACCTGAAGGACACACAGAGCTTGCTTATTACAGGAGCCTCTATTGCTTCTTGAGATAGAAGATTGGAACTTGTGTGTGTGTGTGGGTGGGTGGGTGTGTGTGTCCATCCGTCTATCGGCTTTACTCTTGCAAAGAATTCTCTTGTTTCTTTTCTTCACATAATAAATCTGCAGATACACATTGAACCTCTCTAATCTGGCACCCTTGGGACTTGACCAGTGCCAAACCAGAGAATTTGCCGAACCAAGGGAGGTCAATATTGTCTAGCAACACTTCCATTGCTTACTGGGCTCTTAGAAGACATTTAGGGGTAAATTAGAGATAACTAACAGCACAGAACAGGCGGCGAGGAGTCCTGTGGCACCTTATAGACTAACAGAGGTACTGGAGCATAAGCTTTCGTGGGCAAAGCCTCACTTCATGCAGAACACTGAAAGCCAGGACTGGAGGCTGTAAGCAAACATGATGGTGTCATATAAAAAGTCATATGTGGGGCCTGCAGCTCAGCAGGCTGGGATGGAAGTTTCCATCCTTGCTGTACACAGCCTGGTAGAACCTTGGAGTCTGTAAACAGAAACCGCAGCTGTCCCTTATCAGCTTTAACGCATGCACTTGAGCTGGCAAACTACTAAAGCGGTAAACAAGTGTGACCTTGGTCTCAGCTCATAAGAGTGATTGGAATGGCATTGAGCCAATATGCGCATATCTGGTAAACAGCTGTGCTATAACTAGTGTGGGGAATCCCATGCCCTGGTGAGTCTCACCAGGGACCTAGACCTCGGAGGGTGCCCTGGATTGCCCCAGATGGAGCCACGTCCACTGCGGCCCTGGTGCGAGGTGAGAGGAACAGACTCCCCACAGACTGAAGGGATGTAAGCATTTCTAAGTGCCCGTTACTCATTTATGCATTGCTCTGCCGGCGCTTATTGATGTGTCACTTTGCAGTAGCTGTGTAACCATTTGGCAGTATTAACCCTGTAATAGTAGCGACGTAGTGAGATTAATAAAAGCAACCATCCCTAATCAACTCTGTGTTGAAGCGAATCCATAATCGTATTTGGCCAGGGCCCTGTGAACTGACAGATGAGACTATGGGAAACTCGGCCACACCCATGATAAGTGGAAATTAAAATCCGGACTAGAGAGGTTCAATTTGTAGTTTATTATAGGACTAGTGATGAGCATTGTCTTTGGTGCGAGAGCTAAATCAATTTTCCTGGAGTAAGTGGTGGATCGTTTGGGATTAGAAGTAACTTGACTATTGCTGGGATTCTCAGTGTTAGGGACCATCTATCGCACAGGTAGGGGCACGTGTGTGGCGAGAGATTGGACTCAGGGGGACTGTCTGTGACTCCCTATCCAGCCCTTGATAGGGCCTGTGGACTTCACACATGATAACAGATCTAGGTACAGAACTTGCAGCCAGTTTGGGGTGAAACCCAGCTCCCAGCAAGCTGCCCAGAGGGTGGAATCACACTCCAGAGCCAGGACAGGACAGCCTGAGCCTGGCACAGGTGTGGCGGGATTCACAGGGCTCCAGCTCAGATCAATGGACAGCGCCTGACCCCAGTGTCAGCACACTTTAAACTGGACACAAGCGTGAAAGAATTAACACGATGGGTGAAGCCCAATCGGGTGAGGGTGAGGAGGGGAAGGTCCCCTAAAGAGAGCCCCCCAGGTCAGGGGCGGAGACCTCTGCTCGTACGGTTTGATCAGGTGCCAGGGAAGGAGAGGTGGCAGAGCCCAAAAAGGAGAGCACCACAGTGGAACTGGCCCGAGTGCAGCACCTGGGAGCCCACAAGCACCAGGAACCTAGGGGGGAAATGTGGAGCCGGGAAACTGAGGCAGCATTGGAGTGGGCCCACCAAAGGTGCAGTCAAAGTCAGCGAGAGGACATGGGTGGCAGCTCACACAATTAACTTGAGCAGTAAAGGGAACTTCCCCAGCCTGCGAGTCCAACCCCACAATACAGGATAGTGGGAAAAGTCTGGCCCATTTACACAGACACTCACTGTACAGAAAAGCTCCTGTCCACGTGCCAGAGACACTGCGGTTTGCACAGTGTTCCAGCGGATACACAGGCGATTGATGGGGAAAGCCAGACAATGAGGTGGAGGAGCAGAGATGAATGGTACCTGATGGGGGTCACAATTTAAAGATGTCCCCCTAAACAGCATCACTCACCTCTCCTCTGGCACACACACCCTCCCTCCCGCTCCCCAATCTTTGCTCTCTTCATGGGCATAGCTTGCAGGTGGCACCCAGGGAGAGGGCCTAGCTGGCAAACCCCAACAAAAATTGGGGGAGACACATGAGCCCAGGGTCCACACCCCCACGCCATCACCTCTGTGGGGGAAGAGGATACTGAGGAGTATAAGAAACTTAATGTAAATGGACTGAAAAGGTTTTAGATTAGTCCAAGGCCCGCTGCTCGAAGCGCAGAACCCTCCGAATGTTCAACAAGTGGCATGTGTAGAACTGTATAGTTGTAAGAACATGGGTAAGGGACTGGGCACTGAGGGTGATCATGGAAAATTGCTTGATCTGATGGCCCAGGAGCAATTATTAGAGGTAGTTACAGAGGAGGTGAAGGCAGCCATCCATGACAACAAACCACCTACAGTTTTAGAGGCTGGAGAAATCACTGCTGAATATGTTGAATCAAGGGTCCATTGGCGTGGGGGGCAAATTCCAGAGGGAAGGGAAGACCGTCCGTGCTCCCAAGCTAAGAGAGAGGACTGGAAATAAAACTAACCCAGCCCAAACTTTTATGACATAAAACCCCCAAGGGAATCCAGGGTGAAAAGCAGGGGGGGCCAATGGGGGTCTATGTGTGGCCCACAAAATGTTTTATTCACTGTTGTCACGTGCAGGGTTTCCTGATACTGCTGGTTTCTGCCCACCTCGTTTTTTCCTACCGGTGTTACTAAAGTGACACACACACATAAAGGCAGGGCCCCGGACGTGAGGTGTGTGCAGACTGCACACAGCGCTGCCTGTGAGAGCCGGGCGTGCCCGCTGCAGCCGATCACAGCGCGGCCACGGTCCCATCAGCACCCCCGCACATTCTAGCTACGCCAGCGCAGTGAGCAAAGCGACCTGATCCCAGGAGAGCGCCTGGGTTCTGACAATCTTGTGGCCCAGTGACATGAAGG